CCTGGAAGAATTCTTCAAGAACTATACCATCAAAACCATGCTATACCTGAGATATATAGATGACATCTTCATCATATAGACTAAACATCCTGAAGTCTATGACTGATTTCTATCAAAAACTCAACAATCGACACCCCTCCATCAGACTCTGTGTTGAATACTCCAACACCAACATTTCCTTTGTAGACACCATGATGAATATCTACAATGGTAGAATACAAACCACCACATACAAGAAACCCACAGACCAACATACATATCTACACAGAACCAGCAATCACCTTAAACACAACAAAAAAGCTGTGATTTACAGCCAAGCTCTCTGGTACCACTGAATTTGCACTGAGGAGAATACCCGCAATCATCACATTGCAAATGGGTTTTCACTCAATAAGGACACTCCTCCACAGAGAGACTGCACTTTTGAAAGAGTCACCTGGATACCACATGGAGAATTGCTGCAGTATAAAAATAAAATCCCCATGAATCTCAAACCATTTGTTATGACATACCATCCTTCCCTGGAACCCATACTAGAAGAAAGAGATCTCTTAAAGAGATCTTTCCAGAATCACCCATCCTAGCCTTTAAACAAGCACCGAATCTTGCTAACCGTATTACCAGAAGCAAACTTCCATAACCCAAACCACACAAAATGAATTCAGACCATGCCAAGACAAGAAATATAAAACCTGCTAACACCTCTCCACCAGTCCTACAATAACTACACCCCACAACAGAGCCATCACCGTTCCTGGATCTTACACCTACACCTCCAGAAATGTAATATATGTCATCCAGTGTACCAAGTACCCTGATGGAAAATATTTAGGAGAAACAAAACAACAACTGCACACCAGAATGAATGCACACTGCAAATCCATCAAAGACAAAAAAATATCCAGTTACCTCTGGCGGCCCACTTCTCACAAGACAAGCACTCCCTCACCAATCTCTCAGTTCTAATCCTCAAAGGGAACTTACAAAACACTTTTCTATCCTGAAGAACTCATAACATCAGCAGAGTCTCCCACTACCTGAAGAAGGATGTTTGTGCCCAAAAGCCTTGCAAATAACGTTTTTTCCAACTATTTAGTTGGTCCAATGAAAGATATCACATCAACCCAAAGAAACTTGCCTGCCAATATCTGCTGAAAAAAGTCCTTGAATTTCTCACATTTTAAGTGGTTTTGTGAAAATGAACATAGCAACATTACTTCATAGTTAAACTTTCGACCATTATTTGATTTTTTTTTTTTATGCTGAAGGAGTGACTCATTTAAAATAACATAATTAAATAATGCAAGGTAGGCCACAAAGCTTTATTTTATATTGCAGTGGTGGCAAAACAAACATCCTAGATCACCAGCTTGCCAACTATACTTCTACAAAGTACCTTACTTATTAATTGGGCCAACTAACAGGCTACTTCAGAATTAAAATTTCCTTTCCCCAGCTGCAAAATTAAAATTGTAATTTATCAAGTTTATCTAATAGAAAGGGATATAACTACTTTACTTTTTCATTATATTTGATTACTACTTTTGTTACAAGAGTTTATTTGAAGTAATCTGTGAGAAAGATAACTTAGATCCCATATCTAATATTCATGACATAAAATAGCTTGTATTGAGTTAGTCAACAGTTGTTCAGTTGATTGGCTAGCTGATTGATCCAGCTCCATTCTGTTACTTAATAAACAGCATATTCCATTTGCTTTTATTCCTTTCAGTTCAAAGTTCATAGCTGATCACCAAGGTAGTTGCTATGCCTGTTATATATAAGATTGTCTACCATTAGCTGGCTTATTAAATACAAATACAGCTTCAGGCATTGATTCAGGAAACCATGTTTCTATGGGAAAGGTACTTAAGTACAAATGCTACAATGAGTGGTGGTGGACTTTGTAGATGATTTCCCTAATTGCAAGCCTTCGGTTTTGAATAATTAAATGATCACAGGAGAGAAGTTGGGCTACAATAGCCTTATGGCAGCTCTGATAAGTTACATCTTATGGTTTGAGTAATACTTTGCTACTACCTTTTGAACGATTCCCCCCCCCCCCCACTGGCTACTCTGTTTGCACAACCAAATTATTGTAAACATCCATACAGAATGGCAATAAATGTTTAAAAAAAGTACAGAAAATTTGATTTGATGTTTATATATTTCCTTGCTTCTTTTTTGACAGATTAGTTTCCATTAAGGGTGATTCAAGCCACAAAATTCCATTCCAATCTGATCACTACTTTTTAGCAGTGGCTTATTACCTTCTTAGTCTGTTTGATAAGACTTCCAAAACAGTTTCCCATTAAATTCAGCTGCTTTTTAGTTTCTAAATTTATCAGACCTCAAATGCTGGAGAAATGCAGTTTCTATTTTGGGAGAAGTTCTTGTCAGTTCTTATACTGTCAAACCAAGTGACCCATACTGTATTTACTTGCATACCACACACACTTTCTCCTGAGAAATTAGGCCTCCAAAATTGAGGTATAGGTGCTAGAATGGCTGCTAGGGGCTGCACTCCTCTGGCTGAATGGAGGAGGGGTAGAATCCATTAATCAGCATAGCTCACTCTCACTACAGCCCCACAGCTAGAGTTTTAATTGACTTGCAGCCACGGCTGGGAGCATACATCTGTGGTGAGCCCCTGCTGTGAGAGGTAAGGTTCTGGAAAAATCTTTCTAATTTCTTTCTACCTTCTGAAAAAGAGGTGCAAGTCATACTAAAGGAAGTATGGTATGCAAGTAATCATGGTAATAAGTAAGGAATTATGGACTAGAATAAAGAATTTTAACATGAATATATCCAGCTGGGTCATCATACTCAATGAGTAGTCATCAATGGCTCAATATCTAGTTGCAAGGAGGTATCAAGTAAGTGTCCCAAGGGTCTGTCTGGGTCCAATATTGTTTAATATCTTCATTAATGTTTTGGATGATGGGACTGAATGAACACTTATTAGATTTGTGGATGATACCAAGTTGCAGTGGTGACACTTGGGGGGTGCACACATAGTGGGTGCCCCTGCAAACACTGGTGCACCCCCTCACAGCTGGCACTCCCCACTTAGGCAATGGGCAGGGGGGGCAGGTGGGAGCATCAGTGTTCCCCCTGTAAGCACCAGCCAGGGAGTGCAGGTGCCAGGAGAGGCATCGCTGGCACTTCTGGGAGTGCAGCTGGCACTTCCAGCTGCCCTGCTCATGCTTCCTGGTCAGTGAGATCTGCCACAAGGGGACACCCTTCCCCACCCCCGGTTGCTGACTGGCCACTGGCGGGGCACATTCCCCCCTGACACAGGAGCCACCAATTTCCAATGCCAAGTTGGGTGGATTACCAGACATTTTGGAAGGTAGGAATAGGATCCAGAATGACCTGGGTAAACTGGAGAAATGGTCCAAAATCAGTTAGGTGAAGCTCACCAATTACAAGTGCAAAGTTCTACACTTAGGACCCTGAATGAGTGGTGCCTCCCAAGACTGGGGGGGCACTATTTGTAGGCAGAAGCAGGGACTGCTCGCAGATGCCAGCAGCAGTGTCGGTGGCAGGTGAAGGGAGGATGGCATGTGGTGAGCAGCAAGTAAGGACCACCCACAGCCATGATGGCGGCAAGGTGGGGGTGGGGTGATGAGTGGCAAGCAGGGACCTCTCACAGACGATGGCAGTGGGAGGGGGGAGTGGGTGGTGACCAGGGACCACCAACAGAAGCTGGTGGTGGCTAATCTTGGGGGGAGCACGTGTCTCCCCTGCCCTCCCTACACATTGCCTATGCTTAGGACAGAGTAATGCATGCACAAATAAAGACTGGGGAGTGATTGGCTATGCTATGATACTGCAGAGAAAAATCTTGGGGTTACAGTAAACCATGAGCTGAATATGAGCCAACAGTGTGATCTTGCAAAAAAACCCCAAATCAATGGCATACTGGGTTGTTTTAACAGGAGTTTTACTTGTAACTGAAGGGAAATGATTTCCCTTCTCTGTTCATCCATGGTGAAACTTTATCTGGACAAACCAGTGTCCAGACATGGATCCCACTTTTCAAGAAAAATATGGGCAGATTGGGAAGTGTCTAATAGTGATAAAATGATTAGAGGCTTGGGAAGCATGGTTTATGAAGAAGGGGTGAAACAACTGGATTGTTTAGTTTGGGAAAGAGAATATAGAGGGGGTATTTGATAAAAACCTTCAAATACCTGAAGGGTGATTATAAAGAGGATGGGGATATACGATTCTGTCTGACTGTAAGGGCATAGGAGACTAAACAGGAGATCTCATGATGTCTCATCTAGCCATACTTTCAAATGATCCTATAATCCAATTTACAAATTTAGGTGCAAACCACGTTCAAATTTCCAGTAATAATAATTGTTTCTTAAGACCTTGGGGGTCAATGGAAAGTCACTGACTTCGCTGAACTTAGGTTTGCTTACTGAATATCGTAATTAAATATGGGCAGTAAAAATGTCTGGAATATTGAAATTCTGTTAGCTATAATTTATATGAATGGCTTATTTACACAGCTCACCTATTTGGCACCTATAAATCTAACTACTTCTATCTTGTAAAGCATCTCTACAACAAACATTAACTATGCATCTTACACATATATATAAAATTAAATGTTGACAGCTTTATATTTTCTCTAGATATTAAATAAAATTCAAGGAAAAGGATACACAGATATGCATTCAGATTTGCATATTGTCATGTAAAATGCATTTTAATTCTTATGGAGAGCAAACAGTTAGAAAAAAGTCACTTGAACTAAATGAGGCTGGTTAGTAATCAGAAATCCTGTTTAAAAGGTTAAATAATTAATATTGGTTTTATGACAGTAAAGAAACTACCTGTCTATTAAAAATCCTCTTGCTAATAAAATATCTATTTTTCCATTGTCCAGCTGTAGATAGACATCTTTTGCTATTAATTGTTTGGTAATAATTCATTTTGTTCAATCTATTTTATTTTTAATTTTTTTTTTTCAAATACTTTTTCAGGTACATCCATAGGGCGTTGTGATTTTGAATTTGATCTTTGTGACTGGGAGCAAAGCAGGAAAGATGACTTCGACTGGAATCTCAGAACTGGCAGCACTCCAAAAACTGGTACTGGGCCAACTGCTGATCATACTTTGCAAGGACCATCTGGTCATTACATCTTCATAAAGAGCTCGTTCCCTCAGTTGCCAGAGCAGAAAGCCAGGATTTCTAGTCCCATGCTAAGTGGAAACAGCAAAAATTGCAAGGTATGCCAAGGGATAATGCTAGCAAGAAACAGAGCTTGTTTTTTTCTTTAGAGTGCAACAAGGTAATCATTACTCTGATACTGGTTGATCTCACTAACTTGTTTCTTAAAGAACAAAAGTATGTTCTAAAACCAGTATAGCCCCTATCTTGTATTGGGCTTGAAACTATAATCAGACAAGCAGTTTGTTTTTCAGAAAATTAGAGAGAGAAACTGAATTCTGCCGATGAATACTCTGGGAAAATCAGAAGTAGTCAAGAATATTGTCTCTTCAGTGTCTGGTCTAGAAAATGCCTTATGCAAGAAGAGTAGAATAAGCTACACACATCCACTTTGTGATCTTAATGGAGAAATTTAACAGAGGACATTACCAGCTGTATAAAAACAATGCAACTGCAAATGGAAGAATATATGATATGAAGACTGATCTATTATGTAGACTTATCAGAGTGCTACAGTATATTGTTTTAATCTCTCCTGACACAAGTCTGGCAGGGACATGACAACATGGATTCAAAGACTGTTTATTTTCAACATACCTTCTGCCTTCTTTACTAACAGTGTGTTTTGTAGCTTCTTAACACATTGACTTAAACAGATATAATTATAATGGCTCCAGTCACAATATATTAGAAAGGCAGTCACAATATATTAGAAAGGGATTTCTGGATGTTGAGAGGAGAGATTGCCTTTTTCCTACAATTATTTACTCTATTTAGAAACTTTATTTTCCAACACAGTAGGCATTTGTTGTTTTCAATTGCACATAAGGTTTTTCCAGGTGTAGACAAGTGGGATTGACATTTCAGAATAACAGAGTTTTTAAGAGTTAGAGAAACCAGAATGCTTTAAAATATGAATGCAAGGATAGCAATGTATTTATTTATCTATTTAAATAATACATTTTGCATCTGATTTCAATATGTACCTGACCTCTCTATATATTTTAACTATAAATAAAAAGTAAATGTGTTTTCCATCATCCTTCCTTTTTTCTCCTATACATCCATCACATCCATAAAAGCTAAGACAATTAACCTAGTGAATCTTAAATTAAAAATAGCATTCAAGAAACACAAAATAAATTAACAAATAGTAGATAGAGCATTTGTTATTTTACTATTACCATGTAAAGATCTGCCCACCATACTTGCAGACATCCACTTCAGCTTCTTAGGTTAATTCATTTGCTCCTACATCTGCTTAAAAGTTCTTTGATACTGCACCATTACGTGAAGTATCTGCACTACCAAGCATATGGCAGAAATTCTTAATCCATCCTCACACAGGGAATCCAACTCTAGTCCCCTGTCTGAGAGACAGTATAAGCTGTATATGCTTGTATATGCACAAGCAGTATACATACAAGCATTATCATTGTAGTGTATGTTAGCCTGTAAAGGAGGTTGTTTAATATTCTTCTGTTAGGATTTTGTGGAAATTAGCTTTGTTTTGCCGGGTTACATCTTTTTTTGGCCATTTTCTCTAATTTTGTTTCCATATAGAATCTAGACATTTCAGGAGGGTAGCTCTATTAGAAGTCACCTTGATGATGACAATTTCAATTTGATTTCTCAAAAGCCATTGATTTAAGCTGATGGCATGACCTTCTGAGTATACCAGCACACAGCTGTTCATTGGAACTAAAGAAGTCCAAACCAGGAAAACTGCTAAAGAGATTTACTGTGTGAATGGCATCTCAGTCCAAAATTTCAAATTTTTTTTTTAATCCATTACTCAGATGGTTTATATTGCTTATTTATAAAGAGAACCAAAAGTATGACCAAAATGGAAGGAGATTATAACTTTTTTTAACAAATGCTCTGGCCTCATACCAAATGTCAAGTACATGTATAGGTAAGAAACTCAGGAAACATTAAATAGAAATGGTCAGATTTTATGAAATAAATATAACATTAATAAGTTCATTTTGTCAATGGGGAAAAATAAACTAACCACTAAAAATATAACTTGGAAAATTTGCACCATAAATTTAGGTTTTCTAAGGCAATTCTTTTGCAGCCTTTAAAATATACATATATACATATGGGGAAAGTATCTCCTTCCCTCATTTGGCCTAGATATTCCTCATGATTTTTCAGCCTTATATTTGTCTATGTTAACTTGTTTGTCTTTATGCTCTGAGAATCTGTTTTAACATCTGTGTGATACCAATAAAATAACTTAGAAGTAATATAGATTACTAATGATGAATGGTTCATTATATGAATATTTATTGTATGCTGTATATAAAATACAAGGAAACATGTGGAAGGATAATTGCTGGCAACAATTAGCTTTTCCGTGTATAAATATGCTTAGTGGGCATATGGAGTTACCTAAATTTCTTTAAATAAAATATATTAAGTGTTTGACATGGTGGCATAAACTTTTCTTCCTACCATGTTTTGAAAATTTCCAAGTAGTTTTGAAATGCTCCTTTAGACCTCTTTTTCCAGAGACCTTATGTTTGAAATGGACTGAATGCATACATTGTTGGCTTGCTTTGTAAATTGTATGCAACTGCATTTCAATTCTCAGAAGAGACAGAGTACATTGGTGATTGAGAGGTGAAGCAGACATAGAATGGAATAAAGAATATAATAGAATAACCCTTTTCAAAGATATAGGGAGACATACCATCTTCCATTGCTTCTACTGATAAACATGATACTGAAGTCAACAGACCAGTGTACTGATGTGGCATAGGTAATGCTATGTTCTACAAAAATAGCCGTTTCAAAGCCCCAGATATCAGAAGAGTCTGTTAATTTTGACCCTAGAAATTTTCATGGGCTTAAATTGCTTGATGTCAGTAAAGAGACTACATAATTATATAATGCATTGAGGTCAGAAATTGAAATATGTGCCCAAGATTTCACCCAAAGGAGATGTAAAAATGTAAAAAGAAGTAGAAAGCAAGATAGAACATGATCTAGTTTAAAGGCAAGCTATATTCAAGCAAAAGAGTATCAGAACTGAAAGGCAGTGCAAGAAATACCGACTGAAAAGGAACACACACTGCAGCAGCAAACCATAAGAACAAAACTAAAAGTAAAGAGAGAATCCAAGCAAGAAGAGGCAGACATGAAACAAAAATGTTAAAGTAAGTTTGGAGGAGGAAGCTAGGCTGCCAAAGAGTCCAAGATAGTCTGCTAGATTCTAAATGAGGTGGTAAAAGGAATGATCTGGGTTTTTAAGAAGAGTGCTGAGCAACTTAAATGATTTCTTTGAATTAGCATTTACTACTGAGCACCAAAAAAAACATACCAACTCCAGAGCTATTCTTCACTGCTAATAAAGATGAGGCATTGTCAGAGAATCAGGTGCTAAAATAGGTGGCATTGGAACAAAATCCTAGTTTAAATTGCAATAAGGATCTCAACCAGATGGTTTACATCTAAGGTTTTTGAAAGTAAGTTGCTTAAAAAAAAAAACCCAAAAATGAGCCTTGTTTCCATAACAGAAATATAGACAATGTAGATGCAATTTATTTTGAGTGATAAAAAATCTTTGATCAATCTTTTTTCCCCAAAAAAGAAGATTATAAAAGGAAAAAAAGAAGAAAAATAGTTGTGTAGCAAGAGACAAAGGTATGCTTAAAAGAGAACTATGTTTAGAGAACTGAAATATGAGAGTCTGAAAACTGGTTACAAGATCTAGGTCAGGGAATAAACAGTCAATATCCATTCTGGAATAAAGCAAGTACTGGTGCTACCTTTGATCCTGCAAGGACATGCACATACTTTAAACATGCTAACAACAAACTGAACTTTCAGTTAAGCTTGTAAAAAATTTTTTGTAGAATTCGGGGTGCGTAGTGTCTGATATGTTTATTAATGATCTAGATTAGAATGGGTGAAAAACACAAAATTCAGTATTGACAAATGCAGAGTAATACATATTAGAAAGTGCAGTTGAACTGTGCTTACTACTTAATAGGGTTTAAATAAGATGTATCTGCTTAGGAAAATACCACAGTGCCAGATCAAATGTGGTCATGTAGGTGCCTTCAGTTAGGTGTTAGAGTGTCTAAAACTTAGGATCCCTTTATAGTCAATCCTTTTATTTGCTTGAAGAGTACCTCTGACAGTACCTAGAGTTCGTTCATAGAAAATACTTTAAGCACAAAGGTATAGATGAACTCCTGCCACTTTCCAGAATTCAGGAGACTACATCAAGCTACAGATTAGGTTCCACAATTCATTCTGGATCCAGAACAAACAATCCTTTTTTTTAAGGATAAGTAATAGGGCTGTATAAAACAGCAAAATTCTGCTTCGACATCCATTTTAATGGAACAGTGTTTCGTTTTGAGGTTTGTTTCATTTCGAAAGCACCATTCTGTTTCATTGAAATGGTTTTGCTGTTTTGCTGCTGTTTCGATGTTTCGATTGGGCTGCCATCAGACTGGGAAACACGGCTCAGCTGAGTTCCCTTCCCTGGCACTGTGATTGGGCTGTGGAGGGGAACTCAACCAGGCTGAGCTCCCTTCCCCAGCCCAACTGCAGCACTAGGTAGGGGAACTCAGCCCCAGTTTTAGCGCTGGGGAGGGGAACTGGCTCTGACCACCTTCTGCCACCGAGCTGAGCTCCATGGGGTTGGCAGAGCCAATCAGAGTGCAGCCCAATGGCAGGAGGTGGGCAGAATTGGCGTTGTGCTTCCATCAGCTCCACCAGCCCCACAGAGCACATCCCAGCTGCAGGAGGTGGGGAGAGCCAGGGCTGCACTCCCCGCTGGGCTGAGCCACATGGAGCTGCGAAGCTGCTAGAAACACAGCCCTGGTTCTCCCCTGTTTCCCACCACCTGGCTGGCTGCTTCGAAACATGAAACATTTCAAAACATTCAAAATGTTTTGACTGCCTTCGTTTTGTTTCAAGGCTATTTTGAAGCCTTTTGTTTCATTTTGATTTCACTGTTTCAAGCTCGAAATGAGTTGAAACAGTGTTGAAACGAAACAGCCGGTGAAATTTTGCACAACCCTAATAAGTAATGGTTAATGGTGATAGTACTATGACTTTCTTTTGAATTAGTAGATAGAGGCATCACTAAGGAAGTGGACAACCTGGGTCATATGTGCCCCTCAGCCTGAAATGGTTCAAATTCACACCTGTCATTTCCTAGGAGAATACCCTAACTCCTAAAGCTATGGAATAGGCTGAATACAAGTGTTCCCCACTTCTGCTGAAGAAGCTTGGCCTCTATGCAGTCAAAAAATATTTGAAGAGTAGATAAATAAGAGTTACATTATACAAGTATAAAATAATTAGTGAGATACTGTACCTATTAACCCTGCAGCTCAGGAACAAGGGGAAACCCAGTAAAATTAAAAAGGCAAAAACTGATAAATACTAATTTATGTAATGCAAAATACATTTAAAACTTATACAACTTTCTTCCACAAGATGATATTGAGCAAAAAAAATGTGGATTTTTTTTAAAGAAATAAAAATATCTTCACTTTCATTAATATAGCTGGAATAGAATTATGGTTATCAGTTTTCTTTCTTCAGGACTTTAGCCAGATGCTTAAAATTAGGAGAGACTTGCACTATGAATATATTAGGCAGTTTTTGTTGGGGTTTACATCATCCCTTGAAACATATTAAACATTGTCAAAGGCAAGGTATGGGAGGATGTGGATGAGTGCAATTTGAGTCAATATGACAATTCCTATATCAATATTCCATTTTAAATAATTTATGAGAAACAAGTGGTGATACCACCTGTTATTCTGTGTTTCTGTCTTGTATTGTGTTTGCTAGTTTCCTACTTCACCATTTTCCTTGTATTTAACATTCTGTTTATTATTCTGCTTCCCCACTCTAGCCATCTCAACCAGGAAAATCTACCCCCTTCTATTTAACTTTGTCATCTCTGTAATAGCAAGTCAGCTTTGAAACCTTCCAAGGTTAGGGAAGATCTTTTTTTCATGATCTTCTTATGTTCTAATGTCAGTATCTTCACGAGCCAGTTTAAAGTCACAGGAACATTTTCCCCACTACTAAATGGCATATTTCGTTCCTAGCTTCTGTTTTTTATGTTTAAATATAAAAGTTTCACAGTTCAAGCATAGATGTGATATTGCCCAAAACAGTTTTAACACCAGCTGTATAGGCACTGAAAAATCGGTTTCCTAAATATCTTTCATTAGTTTATTTAGAAGGTTGTGGATAACATTGAGAACGTTCAGAGGATGGCCACTCATATGGTTAGGGGCCCGCAGGTAAGGCCCTACTAGGAGAGGTTAAGGTACCTGAATCTCTTCAGCCTCTGCAACACAAGGCTGAAAGGTGATCTTGTGGCTCTCCAGAAATTCATTGGGGGGGACAGCAAGGGATAGGAGATGCTCTGTTAACAGGGCACCCCTTGGAGTAACTAGAAATAATGGCCACAAACTGACAGAGAGCAGATTCAAGTTAGACATCAGGAAGAACTTCTTTATGGCAAGGGTTGCCAGAATCTGGAATGGGCTTCCAAGACAGGTGGTGCTTTCCCTTATCTTGGGGGTCTTTAAGAGGAGACCAGACAAGCATCTGGCTGGGGTTGTCTTACCCCAGCGCTCTTTCCTGCCCAGGACAGGGGGTTGGACTCAATGATCTGCTGAGGTCCCTTCTGACAGTAATATGTATAAATCTATGAATAGTTATCAAAGTAGTTTTCAATAATCTTTTTTCCTTGTGCTTTAATAAACACTGATAATGGATAAATCAACAATGTCAGTGCTATTCCGAGTGCTGAGGATTTTTCTGTATTGAAAGTATGGGGTGGCTCTCATGTTAAAGTATGTTTAACTCACCTTATTGTACACTTAACATCATTACCCTTTGTTACAGATACTCTTTTATTACCACATGTATGGAGCCAGCATTGGCTCTTTAATTGTCTATCAAGTGACATCCTCAGGGCAAGAAAATGTCCTCCTCAACCTGACTGGAAACCAAGGGAATTACTGGCAGAGACATATATTGGGCCTGGATGCAGATGAAGACTTTCAGGTTACCTTTGAAGGACATGTTGGGAAAGGCCCCAAGGGTGACATAGCACTCGATGACATCACATTCACTAAGGAATGCTTGCCATCAACAGATGTCTTACTAGAAGAACCCTCAGCACTACCTCCAACAGGTACATTCCCATTATATGTTTAACAGTGTTGCAGCTCAAATTGGAAAAACTAGAGAGAATCTTGTTTGTATTTTTTTAAAGTATCTTAAAGTAACATATCTTGCAAACTTTTGTTTTAGAAAAAGGAATGCCATTTGAAGTGGCTTCTGGAATGTAACCAAAGTATTTTGCAAACATACTGTCTAGGCAAGGAGTCAATGAATCTGCAGGAACTGGGCTAAGCGTGTGTTCTCAGTCCTGTTAAATTTAGTGGAACAATTAGTTTGTAAAATCAAGTGTAAAGAGGCAAAGGAGGAATTTTGTTGCTAGAGCCCACATGAAAAGATTGGGCGCAATCCCAGTGTGCAGCATGGGCACTGCTCCCTGCTAACACCTCATGGACACAAAAGGTGCATGGGGGACAGGCAGAAGAAGAGAATACCCCTTCTCTGCCTCTACACTAGTTGCCAGAGTTGCTGAAAGGATGACAGAACTGCCATTCTAGCACATGCCCTCAATAATCCCTCAGGCTCCAACTGCAGTTAGCAAGCCACCAAATTACTCACAGCTTCTAGTTTAGGCTGGGATTTAACATTCATACAATAAAATTTAATTTCCATTCACTCTGATTGTGAGAGATTTGGAAGCAATGAGTCTGTAAAAGCTCTTCCCATTTATAAGACTGCTTTTAGGAGCTAAGATTTGCTACTCTGTGCTTGAGTTTTTGTGTATTGCATATTTATATAATATTCAATTCTCACTGACATCTTGGTATTTCTGCCATGGCTTGAGGCCAATGTAGTACAGTCAGGATTTTTTGCCTTTTGAAGGAGGCATTTGTAATTGATTTCCATTGAATTGGGAGCCTGTTATTTCCCTCTTTCTCTTTTCCTTTGTTCATAGAGGGCTGTGGGATTCAGGAAGCTGTAATTTTTATTTTGCTGTTGATTGTTTGTTTGTTTGTTTTCCATAAGGATGGGATTTGCCATCAGATTATGTAGCTGCTTAAGGTTTATGACAAAAATAGTTTAAAGCAGTCTAGCTTTGTCTGTGGTAAGAACTTTGTACTTTTTCAGGGGGAGAATAATATTTCTCTAATTGATTATTTGATTTCACTTTGCTATTTCTTCCTGTCAGTGTACAGACATATTTTTCTTTCTAATTTATTAAAAAAACTGACAACAAAAATCTTCCAAAAAAGAATCTGACTAGACTTGGTCCAACATTACCAACTTACTGATTTTTTGCTGAAATACGCTATTTGAGATGCTCCCATTCTGAAGCCAAGTGGTTAAGGTCCTGGCTTGGGATGAGGGAAGATTTGAAGTTCAAGCCACCGTTCTGAATCTGAGCAGTCTGGGATACAAACCTTCCATTCTAAATCAGGAACCTGAATTCCCCACATCCCAAGCCAATCTGTTAACTGGATGGACAGATGAATGCACACCTCTTCCCAAATTAAATATCTCAGAATTGATATTAAATTAGACACTGATATACAATTCCATTTTTATAAAAAAAAAAAAGTTTTCAATCCAAGGAAAAATAAAAAGGAAAATTGTCAGTCCTTGGCACTTCCTATGAAACAGATCTTGTTGTCCTGACTGTGGTCTGAACTTCATAAGTGTAGGAAGAGTAGAACAATAGAGCAAGCAGACTGCAGAAACTGTGGAAACTCATTCATTAGAAGACTTCACTGGTAGGCTGGAAAGTCATCCGTCTAGGACAGCTTAGAATAGTGAATCCTTCATCTGTGTAGTGGTTGAACTAAAGGACTATATGATATAATACTGTTCTTTGATTCTATCCTTTAGTGCAGGGGTGGGCAAAGTCCAGCTCATGGGCTGGATCCAACTGGCAGTAGACTCCATTCCCAACAGCCCCTGTCCATGTGGCTGGGGCCAGTTTCCATTGAGACCCCAGCAGCAGCCATGCTGTGATAGTGCAGGGCCAGGGTTTTCATGAAAACTGGCCTTAGCGGGGCTGGCAGGCAGCAGCGGTGTAAGTCTCTTCCTGGTGGGGGAGACCTGTGCTGCAGGCAGGAGACAGACGGGCTCTGCTGCTGCCACCCGTGTGGGGCAGGCAGTGGCAGCACCACTGGGAAGGGTGGCTATGGGGAGTTTTGACGTGACTATAGCCCCCCCCAACACTCCCCTAGCACAACCCCTGCTGGCAGGGCATGCAGCAGGGCGCAGAACTGCTCCAGAGCCCGGCTGAGATCTTGTGGCAGTGACAGTGTGATCCAGAGCCATGGCAGAGCTGCAATTTGCAGCCTGCATGCTCCAGGCAGGGGTGTGCAGGCAGTGGATCATGGCTCTGCCCCAGCTCCAGACGACCCTATCACTGCTGTAAAGAGCTGGAGAAGAGCTGCAATCCACGACCTACACGCCCCTGTCCATGGCACGTAGGCTGCAGATCATGGCTGTGCATCATGCTGTCACTGCTGCAAAATCCCAGCCGGGCCCTGGAGCAGCTCCGCGCCCTGCTTCATGCCCCGTCAGCGCTGCTGGGGCCAGTCTCCACGAAAATCCTGGCCTCCCTGCTATCACAGTGCAGCTGCTGCTGGGATCTCCTTGGAAACCAGCCACAGCCATGTAGGCAGGGGCTGCTGGGAAATGGAGTCTGGCCTCCAGCTGGATCCACCATTTTGCCCACCCCTGCTCTAGTGAGCCCTAATTTTACCTTCCTGTAATTCTATTCCTGATATATATGGCTTAGTTCCTTTCACTAGCCACTGATTTTGTAGGCAGGATGATAAGTAACTGTCTCAACAATGACTGGAAGTTGCTTCACAGACCAGTTATTGGTATGATATATAGTAAGATAATGGGTTGGTTGATGTTTACTATTATTCTAGAGTATTTTCTATGAAAGCTGATGTAAAGTCAATAACAAAGTAAATGGTCATAGAGCTAGGAGATGTAAAGTTTTGTTTATTGGACCATTATTATTTAGACATGTTTTTATCACTCTTTAGTGAGGTACCATATTCAGTTTCCTTGCACAATCATTTAATTTTTTTAACTATATTTATTAATTAATCCAATTTATCAAATCACAAATTTAATACTTAAAAATAAATCCAGTTCCCTAAAATATATATATATATAGAGAGAGATTTTCCATCTAGATTGCTCTATACACAATCTTTTTGGAAGCATTTAATGCTCTCCAATCTGTCTGTAGAGTACTTCAAGCTCTTAAACCTGCATTGCTCTCTCATGATTCCAGAGTCTCTCCATTACCAGCATAGGGATTCTAGCTGCCTAATATTGATAACTTGAATTGTATTCTAAAGCAAATCCTAGGCATTGCATTATTTAAAGACCAAATTTGAATCCTTGCATTCATCTCTTTGCTTCCTTTCCCTAACAATAAAATGAAGCTAGTATTTCCCCACCTGACTAGGGCGTGGGAGTATGAATCAATTATTTTACATGAGATACTCTTCAGCATTGAATCCATCTGAGCTGGGATCTTGTTCTAAGCTCACGGTGAAGCCTGGTTAGATTTAAAAATCACTTCTATTTTTGGCTGAAGTACATCCTTCATAATCCCTCATATCCTTACAATACTGTCCATTCCTTTTCTCATAATCATTTTCTGGCCCTCATTATAGACAAGATCAATACTTGTGAAGTAAAATATTATATTATTGTGCCTGCCACATAGTGCAATTGCTGAGGTTTCTAATTCTTCACTGCCTGATGTTTTTGGATTTGCTTGACCTAACAGTAGGTGAGAGTCCCTGTGGCAACATTGCAAACTTTAAAAGCTATGGTTTTGATTTGTAAAAAATGTTCTGAATAGCCTTTTGAACGAAAAAAACCCCTATTAAAAAGCTGTATGAGCCTCAGAAACAGTCATGAGGGACCTGTTCCTTGAAGTAGCATGTCCTAGATGTAATGTGTGGAACTTTACAGATTCACAGCACTTTTAAAGTGATGATATGAGTATTGTATTGGTGTCCATATTATATAGTGTCTACATAAGTTCATTTGTCTTGACCCAGCTAAATAATTTTTGCTTGTCTTAACCAGGGATAAGTTGGTTTTCAAAGATTCCAGGCTGGAGCTACTATTAAACAATATTTTCTTGGATTAAGGGATCCTTTGATCTCTCTGTGGTATGGGAAGACAAAATAGCACACAGAATTGTACAAGGAGGATAAAGAGAAACCAAAGCATTTAGTCTTGGTTTCAAATAGATTATGGTTACATTTTATAAAGATTCCTCAGAACATAGTTATGTGGCCAGCAGATATCTGGTTGCTTGTTCCTTGCCATTTAATGAGAGGGGTTTGGCTAGCAAGGTTGGCATTACCAACAATGAGGACCAGGCCCTGTACTTTTCATATATTCTCTTTGACAAAGTAGGACTGATGTTGGTGCAGTTCTTTTTCCATACAGATATATGCTTCAATATAACATAAAAAAGAATCAGGCAGATCATGTCACTGTGCTTATTTGTATTTGTTCTCACTCCAAATGCATCTCTGATTGTGTTGCCATCTTGTGTTTGAATCCTCAAATGTAGTCAAAATGGGAATAATACTGGTAAACAGATTGTGATGTTATAACAGTGAAATCCTGACTGAGATGGTTGTTTCTCATTCTCTGGAGTTACTAATCAAATGGCAAATTGTAATGGTAGAAGTCCATGGTTGTCCTTTTCTACTATATCTTTGCCAGGTTTGGTCATTCATCTGCAAATTACTCACTGTTCTTAAGTCCTTCCATCAACTGAAATCATTTCCCCTTCAAAGATAGTAAAAGAACCTTGAAGAAATATTGAGATCGTTCTTTTTTTTTAATATTCCTTTCTTAAATGAAATCATTAAATTTCAGATACCCTGGGATATTCTCATGATGCTGATAAATAATAAATACGACATGGTGAAACACGCAGTGTGCTGAAATGTTCTGTATTTGCAAGTCATATGAACCAGTTGGATGCTATATTAATCAGTAGGATATAGGAACCTGAATAGAATAGAATAGATGGTATTATGTCAATATCTG